CGGGTGGCGAAGGGATCTTGTATTTAGGGGAAAATATCAGTGAAAAGGTATTTAGGAGGAGAAGAGGAATGAGGTGACTGAGGGTAGTTTTAGAGGCAGCAAGAGATGTTTCCTGGGAGGCAGGAGGGATCAGCGATCCGTGTCAGTCTCCAGCTCCCCGAACGTTAGTCTGCTCCAGATTATTTGCTCACTTTCTGCTTCCCTGTTTTCTTATGCTGTCGTAGCTCCTTACTCAGAGGCAGGCGCTCTTCAGCCTCTCCTTGTAGGCCTCAGCTAGTTGGGCTTTTATTGTCTATGAAGAATTATTAAGGGTTCTGTCACCCTTGTCCCCTATATGTGCTTGACAGGTTTAAATCTGTTGGAAAATCTTAAGTTTTTAAGCATAGTTTTTCAGAGGCTTCATAACTTATGCAAATCTGAGTTTTTCTGTGTGTGAATAGGAAAAAGAAGTTCTGTAGCAAAAAAAAAACCAAACCCCTTGCTTCTTGCTTTTATCAAGAACTTAGTGAGCAATTAGCGTACTAAAACCTTTTCAGGAAACCTTCTTTAATTCTTTCAGGGAAAGGTGTATCTTTCCTTCTAGGTTTCAAGGGTTTAAGAAGTGGGTTAAAACACTCTCTTTTAACCTTCTTTTCTTCTCAATATAAATAGCACTGTCCTTCGTATGCACCGTGGCCCAAAAAGTGGTATCACGCAAGGAACATTTCAGCCAAATGGTTATGCAGTGTCCTGGATAACTCAAAATGGGGTTCTGCAACATCTTACTAATTGGTCTAGGGAAAACAAATGGTTGTTCTAAGCTGCTGTGGGAACTTCTGTGTTGTAGCCGTGAGATTTATTTTTTGTTTTACTAGGAAAATATTGCATAAACAGTTAAGGAGTTGATGTTACTTAAACTCACTGTTTTCTCTTTTTAGATTCATCTGCATTTATCCAGCATATTTGAATAACAAGAAGACAATAGCAGAAGGAAGAAGGATACCTATAGACAAAGTAATTTTGTGGGTGGCGGGGAAATACGGTGTTTTGTTTTGCTATGCAGTAGTGTGTAGAGAGTTGGAAAATAAATCTCAAAGCTGTTACCTTTCCTATCCCCCATGGGAAGTAGCTCTGTAACTGGAAAGTACAGTGTATTTGAAGATAACCTAGTGTCAGCATGTGAATTTGGTAGAAGAGCACTGGGTTTAAGTGTCTGCTTTCCTGTGAGCAGCACCTTTGGCAAGCAGGTGAAGTATTGAGAAGCTTAATGCACTCAACCTCCTGCATAAGTAGTTTGCCAAATTTGAAAGCGATGCAGAAAAGAACAGCTAGCTAATGATTGTTTGATTGTGACTGACTATATGTGCCTATATTCTGTGCCCTGTCCCCTTTGCTGCTGTTAAAGATAGAACTTAAGAGTGCATGTGGCACATAGACTTGGTAGTTGTCATTGCTTTTAATCTGTGCAGAAATAATTATTGATCATCTCACTCCTTTGTAATGTTTTTAACAAGCAGTGGTGGGAATATAAAGGGCTTTTCTCACTGCTTAGTGTTGGGGTTTTCTTCTTACAATAGTTAAAGTCTTTCTTGAGCATGCAAGTTGCCAGTGAAAGATCTATGTATGGGAGGAATCTGCTGCCCTGTGCCTAGGAAGTTTCTATTCTTTTCTCCTTCAGTCCTTGCTATAAGTTTGTTGTTGCTGATTCATGGCTTTTGGTCTTTTTGTAAATATAATAAATGTTATCTCATTTCAATTATTTTTCCTAAGTGATTCTTGTACTTGCTCCTGTCCTAATTAATTTTCTCATCTGTTTCCTGTTTTACTGATATCTTATATCTTCTTTTCTTTTTTTATGTTTTCTAAACCGTAGGAGTGCTCACAAATGACTTCTACAGTAGATTTGTCATTATTTGAAGTACCTTCTCTTTCCCCATCTGCCTTTTTTAGTTATAGAGTATACGGTGGGAAACTGCTAACTGTTGCTGTATTGGTAGTTCATCATTGAAAAATAATTAACTGTAACACATTGTTTCAACAGGCTGTTGAAAATCCCACATCTACAGAAATCCAAGATGTATGTGCAGCAGTTGGATTCAATGTGCTATTAGAGGTAATTAAAACAAACAAACAAAAAAAACACAAAAAACACCCCCACAAACTTGGTACGTGTCTCTGTTCTTCTTTCATTATATCTTTTCTTACAGACAGGCTAAATTACAATTGAGATGTTTTTATTATCAGCCAAGGTATTTGCTTGCTTTGAGTAATAACTGACCAAGCTGCTGAAGTAAATGTTGGAAAACTGTATGCAAGGCAGGAATAACCCGGATCTCTGAGACAATGCCACTTTTTAAGCTTGCAAAGAGATTACTTTTATTTAAATATCCTTCTGAGAAGACTATCCTAGATGCTTAAAAATGTGTCAGAACAAAAGCTAATTTTGCAAGCTGCCACTCTGCATATTAAGCTTTTAAAAAAGGCATATTTTTAATGAACGGTGATTACCTTTTGGAATGACTGTCCTGTAGGAATAGGATTCTGATGCTCTAAATCTTCAGGGTCCTTTGGAGTCACGTTTTAGCCAGAGAATGTTAATTTTTTATTGCAGTACCTGCTTGGCCTTTAAATAGTTTAAGTTGGTTACTTTTTTGTTAGGGAATGAGTCTGGATTTCTAGAGAGGTAACTTTTTGCAATTCATTTTCTGAAATAATTATTAATTTAAAATACTGTTGGATTTTCTATCGCTTCTGTACTAAAGGAAGTCCTCATCTAAGAGTGTGACTGGTATCCAAAAACCAGTACAGCATCACTTTGCTTTTCAGAAGGAGTCACATATATTCCTGTTAGTGCACACTAGCCTGTGAAATAGCCAGTACCAGTAAGAAACCTGTAATGTTTTAACAAGAATGAAGGCTATCAGTACCCAAAGGCCTCAGACTGTGACCTCCTGACATACTGTCTCTAGGTGTCCAGAAGGGTTTGTGGCTGTGGAGATGAAACAAAACCTGTGTCACTGCAGCCCAGACTGGTGGGGAAGTAGAAGAGTCCCCGTAGTAGGTTACTCACTAAATTGTTCTGTACCAGTAGCTGGTTGCAGTAGTGCTTCCAAAAAAGTTATGCTGTCGCTTTGGATACTACTGCAATGGCTAAAATGGTGGGTGGCACTGTTGGAGAGCTACAGTTATGGTTTGCATCTGTTCAGAAGAATTCCAGGCTGCTATGACTTAGATTGATTGCCTGACAAATTTTGCAGAAAATTATTCCAGTACTTAGGATAATAAGTTCCTCCTTGTGTATGACAGAAAAATAAGATGTATCCTAGAGAGTGGAACAGAGACATGCAGTACAGAGGCAGAGTACGAATCCAGCTCAAACAAGATGATGGCAACCCATGTTTACCTCAGTTTCCAACACGTGAGTAGAGTACCTGGGTTAGGCACTTTATCTGTTACTAAAACAGAAAGACTTTGATTATTCTGTTATGTTACCATCTTGTTTAATTAGTTTTACTGTTACAAATTTTACAACTTCACGTAAATCAGTTTACGTGTGTAAGTCAGCCAAATCAAGTTGATGTGTGAGCATTGAGTGGAGTTTGTAAAATGCTGTTGTCTTTAATCCTGCTGATTCTTCAGCACTTGGATTGGAGGGGGTTGTGAAGAGTGTTGTGTGATTGCTATGTTGAGCAAAGCAGCCGTTCAGTTTTGGCTTACTCTTTTGTTGACAGTCAAAACAGAGAATTTAGCCATTGTAATATCAAAACCTACCTTTTTCTTAGGTTACATGCATCAGCTAGCCATCAGCATGAGTGCCAAATTGATAAACTACAATACTGACTTCAGTTTTCTGCTGGCTGTTTTCATAAATTAACAATGGAGCTTTAACTTTAACTCCCTTTAACTGATTAACAAGAATAGCTCATCTTGAAGGACAAGTAGTTTAGTCTTTTGCATTTTTCCTGATGAGTAGTCAGTGTGTAAAAGGGAAGCAAATATATATCTGAAGAAGCATGTATCTTAAGGAAAGAGCAAGAAGAACACTGAATGTAGAGTAGCGTAAGAGTGCTG